CTGGAGCTGCCACGAGCGGATTCACTTGACAGCAACTGTGATTACAGCTTTGTTGTTAGTGGTTCTGTCATGAACTGGGTCAAGTTCTCTTGATCTGAAAGAGCCCTGGTGGATCGGCGGGTAACTTTGCTGCCCACCAGGACAGTGGTTGAAGCCCATGAAGCCCATGGAAGAGAAGGAGGCTATCCCATCCCGTCAGCGCTGGCAAAGCCTCAGACACCCACGTAGGGTCACTGTGAGTCAGAGTGGACTCGATGGCAGGGCCTTTAGGTTTGGATCTGTGGGGTCTGCCTCTAACCAACTTGATTAATAGACGGCTGAGGCTTCTAGGTGGTAATGAAGCTGCCGAGCCCCTGTTGAGTGTCTGAACTGAGATTTAGACCCAGTGCTAGAGCAGTTCGACTTAGCAAATAAAAGTCTGAGGCAACACGTTAACTTTGTATGCCAGATAATTTCACAACGTTTAATATGTCATATTAAAACATATTTGCTGCTTCTCTGACATTCGCATTTAACTGGGTCCCCCATATCTTGTGAAGCACAGTAGATTTGGATGTGCATTACTACACCTCACAAGATATAGAGGATTAGAGGACCCAGTTAAATGTGGATGTCAGATGAGCAACAAAGACTGGGAGAATCTTAATAATAATTGTCATGGTTACCAGTGACTGGACCCTGTGCTTTATACAAACATTGCTCGGCGACTTCATTTATTATTTACAACTACCAGCTAAGGATACCAAGTAAGTCACCAGACTAAGAGTATCTTACTAGTAATCGGTGAGACCGGAACTTAAAACCAGGTCTGTCTGACTCCACAGGCAAAGTAGCTTTTGCTGGGTGGAGGGAATATGTATGAGTTCTGATTTTATCATTGCTTTCTGAAGTGTGTGAATCTTTTACTGTGGGCGTCCCCCTCCCTTTTTTTTAGGATTAGAAAAATATTAATTTCATCTTAAAAATGAGAATGAATGGTTATAGAAAAAAATTAGAAAGAGGTAGGGAAAAATACAAATTTTGTATGAAACATTTTGTTTCCTAAACCAGTACATTTTGTTTTTCAAGGCTGGAGCATTCTCCATGTCTTGAGTGTCCAGAAATTTTCCCTCTGGGTTATTTGACCACAAACCGCAGTCCTAGAACTAGTGCACGGTACTTTCCACCTCTCTGGAAATTCACAGACTTTGATGACCGACACAAGATGGTGCGGACGCATTCTTTTTACCTGCTGAGTCACCTTTTTAAAGGTCTTTCTTGTTTTAGTATTACTTCCACATGGTTACTTAGGGGTCTTAAAGTTTACCTATGAACGCGTAAATCACTATTTCTTTTACGGTTTTTGTTTTTGTAAGCTTGTATGGTGATTTGAGTGAAGGTTTACTGAGTAGATAGATCATCAGCTTTCCACTCAATGGTTCATAGACATTTTGTTTTGGCTCATCCATTACCGTCTCCTCCATAAACATCCCTATCCCTATCCCTCTCTGTGCCTCTCCTTTCCTAAGACTCTGTACTTTATCCTTGGGGAACTACTGCCCTTTTGATCTTAAATAGTTGACTATGCTAACACAGGGTGAGTTCTGGTCCAGACCTGAAAAGTGAGGAAGGGCTATTATATTGGGGGTTCCACTAGTCTCTATCTGACCATTGAGCCCGGTTTCTTTCCTGAATTTGGGGTTGGTTTCACATTTTTCTTCCATTTTTTCCCCAGGACCCTGTAATGTGATCCTTTTCAAAGTAGTTGGTGGTGGTAGCCAGGCACCATCTAGTTTTTCTGGTCTCAGGGTCAAGAAGACTGATGTTTGTGTGTCTGTTACTCCACTGGACTGAATGTTTCCAACAGCCTTTGATTTTTATCAGTCTTCATTCCTCTGGTTGGGGAGAAACCAAGAGTTGCACCTCAGAAGGTTGTTCATGAGCTTTTAAGGCCCCAGGCACTATCTGCTAGAGAGGTGAACATTTTGAACAAGCTCCCAAAATGACAAACTCCCCATCACTCACAGAAAAAGCCAGGTGGTTTGGAAACAGTTGTTGAACATAACTCCTTAAGCAGGGATAAGAGAGTAGGCAATGGCAATGAGACCCAGAAGCTCATTGGCAACACTCAGGGCTGCCAGAGGGAGAATGGTTCTGATTCTGGTGACAACCCCTTTCCCTGCTTTGGTGGTGTGGTATGGTCCGAGCTCTGAGCAGGGAGTCCCAGTAAAAGAAGAGGTCCAATAGCAATTTTGAAAGAATAATGTTGGGCCAAAGGTCTGGGTAGTTTTTTTAAACACACACTTTTAAAGAAGGATTCTCAGATGTATCTGTTTAATTTATTAGATTGCAGGCTTAAGCACTGAAGGAAAATTGAAACATATAGGATTAGGATTCCCTGTTTAATATCTTGTATCTGAAGGGGAGTTAAGGAAGACCATTTGACCATCGTACTCTTGGAGAGAAATTGAAATACTATTTGGTTAATCATGCAACTCTGAATTTTAAGAATAATTTTAAAAGTGCATGAATTTAAACTAGTATTCAGTCAATGTTTAGATTAATATTGGCTAACAAGTTGCCCCAATTGGGCAGGACTGTAGACAAGTGGTGGTCAATATTAGATGTTTAAATTTAGAATCCTGGATGATGCCAAATAGTTAACACACTTGACAGCTAATTGTAAGGTCAGAAGGTTGCATCCACCTAGGGGCACGTCAGAAAGAAGTCTTGTCAATCTACGTACACACACACACACACACACACACACACACACACACACCAGCAGTTGTGAACTCTATGGAGCACAGTTCTACTCTGATACCATAGGCTGACCCATGAGTCAGAACTGACAAATTATCCCTCCTTTAGCTGAGTTTGCCTTTTGATTTATTAGCGGGAAAGTGGCTGTCATCTCACGGCAGCCTCGCCCGTCAGTCAATGCCATTGCCTTTTCTGTATAGTAACGTCTAGGTGATAATTTGGCTCTTTTGTTGTATTTTGCCCTCATTTTATAAAAATATGGTGGGGCAGGGGGCATTGAAAGAAAAGTGCACACACACACCCGACCAAGCGCACTGCTGTGGAGTCCATTCCAACTCGGCATGAAACCACAGGTCACTGTGGAGGAGGACTAGGCTTCCCTGGTTAATAGCTTGTATCTGAAGGGGAGTTAAGGAGGACCATCTGACCATAGGACAAACTGACAATAGGGCAGTGTAGAACTGCTGCTGCGGGGTTCAGGATCTATAATTCTTTTTTAAAAATCATTTTATTAGGGGTTCATACAACTCCTATCACAATCCATACATACATCAATTGTGTCAAGCGCATTTGTACATATGTTGCCCTCATCATTCTCAAAACACCTGCTTTCTGCTCCTCAACCCCCACCCCCCACCCCGTCTATAATTCTTCACGGGAGTAAAAAAGCCTCATCTTTCCCAGGGACACACAAAGCATAGGTTTGCAGTTAGTTGGGTAGAAAGGGGGAACCAATTACAAGGACCTACATATAACCTCCTCCCTGGGGGATGGACAATAGAGAAGTGGGTGAAGGGAGATGTCAGACAGTAAGATATGACAAAACAATAATAATTTATAAATTATCAAGGTTTCATGAGGGAGCGGGGAGGGAGGAGGGAGAGGAAAATGAGGAGCTGTTATCAAGGGCTCAAGTAGGAAGCAAATGCTTTGAGAATGATGATGGCAACAAAAGTCCAAATGTGCTTGACACAATGGATGGATGGATGGATTGTGATAAGAATTGTACGAGCCCCCAATAAAATGATTGGAAAAAACCCAACAAGATGAAAAGCACCAAGTTTTCCTGACGTGCTGGCTCTTTACCCTCGATCTGCTGGGCTCTGAAATGCAGCCAGCTGAGATATGGGCTTGGGTTTGAAATATGTGAATATGAGTCTGTGAAGCAAGATTGCATATTTAGAGATCATATGTGCAGAGCTGAGAGTACGACGTGGAGGAAGGTGTCTAAAAGGCAAAATGTAAGGAAGGGTTGTTATCATCTGTTAACAGCTCCTGAGGATAGAAATATCACATGCTGCACATATTCTTTTGCACATTTTATGACAGCGTACACTTTCCGGCTTGAGTGGTGTCGGCGATGGGGACTGCTGGTAGAACATTGAGAGACAGGTGGGGAATTAAAAGACAAACGTGCAGTTGTTGAGCCCTAATAGATTAGAGTAGAGCTGAGATTGATGAACACTTGTTATTCAACCCCAGGCAGTACATTATCTGTTACTGCAGTACTAAAAGTCGGTTTTTCAACAAATCAGTCAACATATATTGACTGACCTCCTACAAGGTGCCAGGCACAGGGGATTTAATGAGACACGAAACGGATGGTTTCCTCCTTTTGTGGAGCTCGTGATTGTGTTTGCTCATTAGGATGGATACTGGGGGTGGAGGTAGATGTTCATCCAGTCAACTCACGAGCAGAAAATGATAACCGTGACAAGTGCACACCTGTGCTATCAAAACCTTGAAGGGGAGGATTTGACTTGATGGCAGTTTAGGTGATGTTTGAAGGATGACCCCCAAACCAAACAAACCCATACCAGAAAACCTCCTTACTGCCATCAAGTTGACACACAGCGACCCTCCAGGACAGAGTCGAACTGCCCCGGTGGGTTTCCCGAGGCTGGACGTCTTTACGGGAGTGGAAAGCCTCATTCTTCTCCTGAAGAACAACTGGTGGTTTTGATCTGCAGACCTTGTGATTACCAACCTAAAGTGGAGCCCACTATGCCACCAGCGCTCTTTGTGGAGCAGGCAGAAGTCTGCAATCTCCAGCAGGAGTTCCACATTCTAGGCTTACACGACTCTCCTTCTTCTCTAGAAACTTCAGCATTTGCTCTGCAGGCCTTCAACCGATGGCGTGAGACGCAGCCACATTGTGGGGGCCGATCTTCTTTACTAGAAGCCATGAACCAGCATCGACAGCCCGTGCTGAAGGTCGTTAGTTCTGATTCACAGTGCCTTCCTTGTCTTTCTTGCAGAGAGAACAACTCCATAGGGGGTTCCCGGCTGTCACCGTGACAGAAGCAGATCACCCAACCTTCCTCCCACAGCACTGCTGGGTGGGTTTGCACTACGGACCGTAGGTGCTAAGCATATCAATAAAACACCTTCCCAGCAACATCTGGACTAGTGCTTCACCAAACGACTGGATGCCATAGCCTAGACAAGGTGATGTCACAATTCAACCATCCCCATCGACAGATGGTGACGAGTCATCTGGAGGAACATGCACAGTGGGGAGAGGGTAATGGAGGGAATGTGGGGGCAGTGATTAGTGATGCAGTGACCTTGGTTCAAAGGTAGCACTTCAGCAACGATCTGAAGGGTGTGGGGAGAGTCAGTTCTGAGGATGAGGCTTAAATCTAAGCTTAAAATCTAGACCAAAATGAACAGCCTCTTGTCCTCCCTTCCCATCTGTATCTGACACTCCCCCAAACATCGCTTTCAACTCTTTGGCTCTTTCTTTTCTACCCCCCTCTGTATTTCTCAACTCTACACTTAGGGTACTATTTTGGAAGTGGGGTTTTTAATTTTTTTCTTCAGATTTGGAAAACTGGACCTCCTTCTATGGAGGAAAAGGATGAACTTTTTTTCTTTTAAGCAGTTCCTGACGGGTTGCTCAGGTTCTGTGGGTCAGAATGCTCAACATGGTGGGAAGGTTTCTCTGTGAAGGATTTCACAAAGCTGTGACCTCATCTGGAATTTGGTGGTCTCCCTCCAAGTTCACAGTGAGCTGAATGCATGTAGCTCAGGGCCTCTCATGAATTTGCAATGAAACCGACCCCCTCCCCAGGGGGTATCAGCTGAAGGCCTGACCAGGGGCCCGAGGATTCCCATCCGGCAGAGTTACTCCTCTCTGGCTGGTCCTGGGATGCCTTGGTCTTTATTTATCTGGATCTTTCCATAGACTGCTCTTGACATAGCCGTGACCTCTTCTGAGCAAGCAATCTGAGAAAGCATAAGGTGGATTTAACTTTCTTATACCGATCGTCACAAGGTCCCGCCACGTGGTTCCAGGTTGCTTGTGGTAAGCAGTCAGTGATGAGTTTCTGGGGCCAATAGGGGTGGTGATGGGCATGTGGCTGGGGCAAACCAGAGACTTAGACATAGGGTGTCGGAGGACCGCTGGGCAAATGTTCCCAAATCAATAACCTTGCTTCCTTTTGCTCTGATGGTTTCCCCACAGGGAAAATACTGGCCTGGTGAAGCCCCTCAGGAGACCTACGCAGACATCCTGATCGTAGCTGGGCAGACAGGACCTGGATCCTCAGTGTCTCCAGAAGATGAGGCTCTGTCTTGGGTGATCTCCCCGATCACCGTTCCGTGGTCTCCCACAAGCAGCAGTTGAGCTTGAGAAAGCTGGCGCTGGGCCCGGCGGTGTTCAAGATGGGGCCCAGGCAGTTGGCAGTGCGGGGAGGCTGACGGTCGTGGATGGAAGCTGGTGTTGTGGACCAAAGAAACAGGATGTGGGAACTTAGGGGCCAGGGCCTTCCAGAAAGCACGTGGCTGTGTTTCCGTCAGAACGTGGCTGTGGAAGAATCACAAATAAATATCATGGCAAAGTCTTCGAGGCTGTGTACTACCCTGTTTCCCCGAAAATAAGACAGTGTCTTATATTAATTTTTGCTCCCAGAGATGGGCTAGGTCTTATTTTCAGGGGATGTCTTACTTTCGGGGAAACACGGTATGTATCGGGAAAGCACAGAAGCTCCGTGAAGTGGGTCGCTTCAGTAGCCTTGACAAGGGGGCTCAAGATGCTGCAGCACCTGATCAGCATGGGGGCTCCTCCCTGCAGCACCCTCCAACTGAAGAGCCCTGTTGCTGTGGCATCCGTTACCTCTCATGTGTTACATTGTAGAAATGCTCCACAGTAACCTTTAAGGTTCGACAGTAACCTTTAAGGAAATAGATTGCCAGGCCTTTATTCTGTGGCTCCTCTGGGTGGGTTGGAACCACCCACCTCGAGGTCGATAGTCAAAAGCAAACCATTTGTGTCCGCCAGGGTCACCTACACAGGTCACCCAAACTAGGGCTGGTCTACCCTCTGTAGTGACCCAACGTTCTCCGAGAAGGCCAGATGGGAGACGTGGATTCTGGGAGGCACCTGCCTCTGTACACAGGCCTGTGAGTCCATAGCAGGTGGGGCTCTGACAGTTCCCATTTCTTTCTCACCGTCTGCCACGGACTCTCGCCCGAGAAGAGTCCACATCCAGGAACTCTGAGCACACAGTGCGGATTCCTCCCTCTGCCGGCCACTGGTAACTGCCCATGACCAGCCTCGGCCCAGCGGAGGCGGAGGTAGCCGTGTTTCCTGGGATCTGCTCTTGTCTTCCTCTCTGCTCTCTCCCCTGCATTCTGACTTAGCGCTCTGGGGGAGGACATGTCACGTAGCCACTCAGATGAGGTGCTTTTCATTTGGGCAAGAGGTCATGTTCACCTGTTTTTCTGGCACTGAGGGAAGGGGTGTCAAAGGAGCCCTCATGGTGCAGTTGATCATACGTTGGGCTGCGAGCCACAAGGTCAGCGGTTCAAAACCACCAGCCTCTCCTCAGGAGAAAGACGGGCCTGTCTACTCCAGGTCACACTTAAAGTCTGGGGCAATCACAGGGACAGTTCTACTCTGTCAGCATCCACTTGATGGCGGGGAGTGGATGAGTGAAGGCCCGATGATTAAGTGCTAACCCAAAGTCAGAACAGGAGAAAAGACTTGGGGATCTGCTTCCATAAAGAGTTAAGCACCCCCCACCCCACCCCAAACACTCCATGCCCATGGAGTGGGTTCTGACTGATAGCAACCAGGCTTTCAGTCAATCTTCACAGCCCCATCTTTCTCCCGCTGGTGGCCTTGGATCTTGGGCATTGTGCTTAACTCACCATGCCAGTGGAGGAAGCCCTCGGGGGTGAGGGGCACTTCTACTCTGTCACATGAGTTGGAATGGGGGTCACTAAGAGTGATGGTGCACAGCCACAACAATTCGGTGTGGCTAGGGTTACCAATGGCTTTAATCCCCATGCCCCCCCACCCCCGCCCCGCCCTGGGGATAGTCATTGCCATATAGCAAAAGTCCCAGCAGCCAGATAGCAAAATGTCTAGCAACCCCCCTGGCACAGAATGGCTGCTGATCAGAATGACTGGGGCATGAGCACATGAGGCCGAGAATGAAATGAGCGATTGATTCTGGCCAACCAATATGCAGCCCAAACACTTGCACACAAATAAGGGCCAACAAGAACTACTGAACATCCACCGAGCCACACATGTGCATTTTGCTATTCCAGGATCTTTCTCTCACAGGACACGCTCAGGAACTGCCTTTTCCTGCAAAGGTCTGGTGTCTGTGTGTGTCTGTTCAGTCATTCATTCACTCACTCATTCAACAGATGTTCAGAGAGTGTCTGCTATGGACCAGCCACTGTGCGAGGTGCTTGCGATTCATCATCAGTGAGTAAAGCCCACAGGAATCCAGGCCTCTATGGAAGTTAGGTTCCAGGATGGGGTGGGGGTGGGGGTGGAGACAGGGCAATCTGTGCAATACATAGCCCAAATCGGTGTGTGCTGTTGGTATTAGGTGCCATGAGTTCGTTTCCACTCATAGTGATCCCGTGGGACACAGCAGAACTGCCCAAGGTTTTCCTTGGCTGGAATCTTAAAGGGAGCGGATGGGGAGGTCTTTCTCTTGTGGAGCTGCTGGGTGGGTTGAAAGCCAATCTTCTGCTCAGCAGCTGAACTGTGGCACTACCAGGGCTCCATTGCTGAATGTCAGGGGACTGTCAATGCAATGGTGGAGAGAGTGTAGGGAATAGAGTAGGAATTTGGGGTAGAAGAAGCATTTTAACAAGTTTGCCAGATGACTCTAAAACCCATTACAGGATGAGACCAGGGCTTCAAACTGGTTCAGGCATGACTGAGCAAGTGAAACCAGACCAGAACAGGCCCAAGGCTTTGAAAAACGTGGGTGCTCTGGGGTGCTAACTGGAACAGGAACGCTCATGGGCTGAAGCCCTGGGATGGGAGACTCGGAAGAGGCAGAGGGCATCTCCTCTGGATCCCGAGGCTTGACTCTGATTCCTGCCAGGACAGTGCAGGGCAGCACACATTCAAAGCAGCGCCGTTGGCTGCCACCTTTGAGCGAACGCTCTTCTTGTCTACTCAGCTGATGGGAGATTGGGTCGCTGTGGAAATAAGATGACCATCTGCAGGACAGGCAAAGCGCGACCTAGAGGGTGATGTTTGAGTCAGGAGAAGAAGGAGGTCAAAGAGTGGGCCATGTTGATATCTGGCCCAGGGATTAGCAACAGCAAAGGCCCTGCAGGGGAAGCGTCCTGGTGGGTGCAGGAAGGGAGGGTGGCAGCAGAGTCGTAGGCAAGGGAGGGAGCAGTAGCCACTGAGGCTAGTAGAGCCTGCAGGGTGGGAGGGCAGTGGGGCAGGGCAGGCAGGGCCTCCTTGTACATGCTTGAAAGGACTTGGCTCGTACTCAAAGTTAGAAGGGAAACCACTCCTCCAGGGTTTTTGAGCAGACATGCGAGGGTATGGCTTGCATTCCACTAGAATTACCATCCAGAGGTGATAGAGTTAGCCTCTAGAGCTGATGGACATCGGGAGATGTGGACAGAATTCGGACACTTTTTTTTTTCTTTTTCGTTCTGACTCTCTTTTTTTTTAAACATTTTATTAGGGG